GGCCATCTCGATTCCTCTCAGCACGCGGAACGCTGCTTGGTCGCCTGCAAATTTCGGTGAACCATGACATGACTCATGACATGCACTGTAGTAGTGTAGTGTGCAAAGCAACCGGATATGTATGTAGCAGGCCACACGGGAATTTGGAAGCAACCGGATAGCAGGGAGAGGCTAGCGTGGAGGGTCGTGTCCATCTTTGTGGCAGGTGCTGCGCCGACGGTGAGAACGGGGCAGACGCTGACGAGGCTGATGCTGTGCTCCTCCGCAAACCTGCACGCCTCCTTCTCCGCGAGCACCTTGGAGACCCCGTACCCCTGCGATGCAAGCACATGGTGCCATGCTCGTCATCAGCATGCCATTCTTCCGATTCGAACGAGAACGGGGACAGGACATTTATTTATGTGTGTTACTATATTACCCAGTGACTGGACTTGTTGGCAGTGAGGTACTCGACGTCGGTCCAGGACTCCTCGTCCAGAACGTGCCCGCCGCCTTGCAACGGCCTGCCGACGACTGCAGCCGCCGACGAGGTCAGAATCACGCGCTTCACTGTCCCTGCCTTGGCACACGACCTCATGACGTTCAGGATTCCTCGGACAGCAGGCTCGATCAGTTCTTTCTGCCATCAGTCACCACCACCACATTTGAGCAAAGGAGCAGGTGAAAATGACGTTACGGGTGGTGCTCACAAGTAGGTAGTGGTGACGTTTGCGCACCTCAGGATTCTTCGAATGGAGGTTCACCGGAGCGGCGACGAGGAAGACGTAGTCGCTGCCGGCGATGGCCTCGTCGAAGCTGCCTTCTTCTAGCAGGTCGGCGCGGAGGACTGTCAGGGGGCCGACCGCCTGCAAGTCCTTGAGGTGGGAGTTCTTGGCCATGTCGTCTGGGATTCAGAATCACAATAATACACATGCACGTTCAGACTTCAGAGCATAAACGATCAGACACTGTCAACAATTCTTATCCCGTTTTGTCACGGCCGGGATCACAACAAACTGCAACTGTTCACGCTCAAGTGTGGAAACTAGCTAGGGAAGAACGGAACGAACCGGGGTTCCTGACCGTCGTCTTCACGGCGTAGCCTTTCTCGAGCAGCATCTTGATGAGCACCGAGGCGATGTACCCGTTACCTCCGGTCACGCACGCCGTCTTCTTCCTGCCACCCCCTGACATCGCCGATCACCTCCTCTTCCGCCTGGCGAAGGAGAAAATGAGAACTCGCCCACTCTTTTTTTTTTTGCTAGGATTGCATGCAGCAGTGAGTTCTGTTTGCTGATGGCTAGCTGTGACTGTCTGGACACGGGAGCTAGCCTGCATTTTATCATGGAGTACGTACACAGTGCACACTTCAGTAGGTTGCGCTTGACCGGTTGGTTTTTGTGAGGGAACGCTTGACCGGTTGGTAGGTGTCCAGTTCGCACGCAAAGGCTTCAACCGTTGGCAATTCAAGAGGGAGTCTTCACCGGCGGGTCAATTCTCGGATTGGTGCTATATTCAAAAGTGACGGGCATTAAGGACTATGAAAAGGTTATGAGCAAGACTCTGAACCTCTTGTCAGAGCAAGAACTTGCAACACCTTTGGGCCGTAAGCCTAGAGGGTCATAAACTCTCTTTTTTGAAACTTAGAGGGTCATAAACTCATAATGGCATTCATAGAGAGCTCCGGTTGTGGTGCGGTGCCAGTATTGCCATAGTCATTTTGCTTGGGAGCCAGTTGCTCCTTTAATCCTTTATTCTTTTTCACCAGCGGTGATATATGACTGATGTTGCTTCAATGGGTCAAATGTTTAAAATCGATGCCTTTAAAGTAAGGGTTTTCTTGTTGACCATTTAGCCTCCTAGTCAAGCCCAAGGAAACAATTTTATTTTTTGATACTATTTCTTTTACTTTGTCATGGTTTCCACACATACAAGGAAATGCGAAATTAGTCCATTGTAGGTTTAGATATGTGCTAGCAAAAAATAATTGAGGTTACATCTTTTATATGACAGAAAAAACCACAGACTCAAATTGAGCTTACATAACAATAAAAATAAAAACATATAATGAGGTAAAAAGGGTAGATGTTATTGATTCGTTGTGGACTTTTCTCCCCCCTTTTGAGCAAAATCAATGTCTAACTTGTACATAGTTCAGATGGAGCTGTCGTGTTCACATGTGTTTGGTATGGAGACAACGTGCCATGGAATGAATCTGTCCCTAGCTTTTAGGATGGGACTGTCTCAGCTCTTGTTTGGTTGAAAAGGGGATGGGATCGTCCCATTTTATTATTTGGTTGGAAGCATGAAACTCATGGGATGGATGGTGTTTTCTACACCATCAATCACTGTTAGTCAAGGGGGCCCCACATGTCAGCCAATGACCACACCTTCTCCCTTCCTCTCTCTCCCTCGCCACATCGGCTCCACCGAGCCATCACACCGCTGCCACGAGCACCATGTGCATCGAGTCATCTTTGTCCCGCGTTGGCACTACTCAGGCCTTGTGGGCCTTGTCGCCTTTGCCCCAAGGGGTGGCTGCGCCCTACTCAGCCCAGCCGCCATTGCCACGAGTCATGCCGCCCTCGGCCGGGCTGCCATTGCCGCAACTCGCGCCACCCTTAGTTAGGAGCACCCTAGTGTCGCCTGCACTGCACCAATGGTCGCCCGCCTGACCTCCCCATCTGAGTAGGAGGTACCACTGTGTCGTCGGGAGCTCGATGAAGAAGACGACATAGCCGGGAGCTCGATGAAACAGGTTGTGCCCTCTAGCTCGAGGAAGAAGAAGGGCATAAGATGAAGAAGCGATGACACTGATTTGGGATAACCCCGTTGATGAGGACATGACACCTATGTATACAGCCCATGAAAGTTAAAGACAATGTGAGCTTGTTCCTATGTTTGTATAATGATAAAACTAAGAATTTGTTACTACCTTATATCGGTATTTCAAATGTGCTTAGAAACGATGGCAATGATGATAGAGTATGGATATGTCATGAACAAGATCGATCTTGGAGTGCAAGCTCATCAAAGTCCAACATTCGGTTCGTCGGTAGACCGACAGTGCTTCATTGCGAAGGTCATAACTCATCCATCCAGAGTGCGATTGAGGTCAATGAACACTTGATGAAAAGATTATTTGATAAGCTTTCAAATAGTCCTGGTGCCACCTCAATATCACGTCGGGAAGGTCTTCCAATCATCAAGATATTGTGCCACTGTTTCTGTCGGGTGCTACGACGTCATCGTGGGATTGTTATTCACACATGGGACCCAGGCCTAAGTTGGAGCATGCCCCAAGAAGATGGAGAACACAGAAGAGATGTCCAAGGACGTCCTCCTCCTTGGCCAACACCTTAGGAGGCAAGCAAGGGCGTCCAAGCCAAGTTGAAGGCCCAATCAAAGTCATGTTCACATCCATCTCGGGCTCTAGGAGCAGCGTGTAGTAAAATGGGACGCCCAGGTTACACACGTACTCCGTTTTCGACGATCCACATATGTATGGAAGGATAATTTGATAAGGTAACTAATGGAAGTGGTCCCACATCAAAATTCTATCATAATCAACGGGAATCGTTGAAACAAGTTGATGTCCAAAATCTGTCACGGCGCTGCATCGCCGTCATTTGGGCCGTTGGGCCTTGTAACGTGTTGGGACAGCTTATGGACTTGAAGAGGGGTCCTTGGACGCCCTTTAGGCTACATAATCAGTAGCCGTCGCCTACGTTAGGGATTGGGTTTTGCTTTAGAGTAATCTGTCTTTGAGCAGTCGTCATTATCGGTTTGTGAAACCCCCGTTGAGATCTTAATCATACATCTGCAAATTGTCACTTTACTTGAGTTGCATTTTATCTTGTTCTTGCTTGTATTCTTCGATTCACAATAGGGATTAGCCTTCTCGGCGATGTTAACCAGATTGTGACACGGTTGATAACTAGAGGAGTTGTGGCGCTAAGGTTGCAGGGTTCGGGTCTTTGTGATCTGAAGCCGGATCGGTGTTTCGCTCTATGACCAAATCGATGGTTATCTTGAATCTGACGGAAGATCGGGAACCCCGTCCCCATCAAGTGTCATCACCCGTCCTCTCGATTTTGGGGTGCGGGGTTAGCTGGATCTGGGAGAAATATTTCACCTGGGGATGGACTCGTCCCTCGCTCACCCAGAACCTAACCAAAAACTGGTAAAACTAGATTCATCGCATCCCATCCCTGATGATCCTTCAAACCAAACACACCCTTTGTGCCTGATGCAGATTAGATTAGAACCAATCTAATAAACATAGAGAAAGCAACGCTAAGCTATTGGTTTTACAAGCTCAACCTAAGATACCCGAGAAACCTATGCAGTTAATGGAGTGCTCTGGCGGCCCATGGACCTAATAAGGTAGCCCAGCCCTACCTCTATATCTCCAAAGGTCTCAAGCCGATATGCAGTTCTGCCCGTGCTAGGTAGCACGGTAGACTATCCCATTCGATAACTTAACCCTAGCATATTTTTCAATAACTAGCAAATATTTCTGGGCATTGCAACAGAACATACAATTTGTTATGCTGTCACTTGGATGACTTTTGGATTGAAGATTTATGCAACTATTATGTCATCTGTTCTAATACATTTTTCGAATCAGACTCTGTATATATCATGGCTGGACATGCGCTATTTGAAACGTGGTTTTGTGGTAGATTTAGATTGTGCAAGATTAGAATATGATCCTGTGTTGAACTTGGATTAGAAATGTGTGGCAACAAATGTGAGATGAGGATGGGGAAAAGTGAGGCGTAGTGGGATGAGCCGATGGATGAAAAAATAGACAGAGAGAAAAAATTTTATTTTAATATTATGTAGATGTAGATGTAGAATAGATATAGATGCAGGTGTAGATGTAGATATTGACAACGACTATTTCTTAGAACAGACTATCCCGTTAGGATAGACACAGATCTAGACATATTGACTACAACACGTATTTTTTACAAACAGACTATCCCAACGGGCTACATCAGATTATCCACACTATATCAGTAGGGCAGAATTCCCAGTGCCTTGCCGTACTCGACGACGTCACCGTATATCTCGTCCAGGGTCTTGTACTTGAACTCGAACCCTTCCCTAACCAGCTTCGCAGACGACAGGCTCACTCTCGGCTTCTCCAGGAGCTGCTGGTCGTCGTCGGTGCTGCATTGTTTTCATAAACAAGATCTCAGATAAGAATATATAACCACCAAAAATCTCTATTCACTGAGGTCTGAGGACGTCAGATCGATCGGCATCGGCCGGCTCGATTATTCTTACGGCAAATTTGTTTCCACGCCGTACTGCGGGTACTTGCGTGCCAGGAATCGCGCGATCTCGACGACGGTCGTGTTGAGGCTGCAGCAGATGTACCTCCCCACGGCCGCCGCCTCCTCGGCGACGAACAGCTCCGCGCGGCAGAGGTCGTCGACGTGGACTAGCTGCACCCCGCCGGAGGTCTTCTCGATGCCCTTGAGCGCGGCGAGCAGTGCCTCGTTGCCTGGAGAGAACAACACCGAAACGGCCGCCGCGCCGGCCGATCATGTTCACGCCGGAACCCCCATAACAAGCTGATGATGAGTGGCATGCAAAGGGACAACAACGAGGGACTTCACATCCTCATCGCTCACCGGTAAGAAACGAGAGGCAGACGGGGACGCTGGTGTTGACGACCGGAGCCGGCGCCTCGCCGACGGTGACGACGGGGCAGACGGTGACCAGGCTGATGCCGTGCTGCTCTGCGAACCTGCACGCCGCCTTCTCCAGGAGCACCTTGGACACGCAGTAGGCCCACCAGAGTGGAGTCTTCTCGGCTCTGAGGTACTCGACGTCGGACCAGGAGCCCTCGTCCAGGACGACGTGGCCGTCGTCGCCCTGCTGCGGCAGCTCCGGCCTGATGTACACGCCGGCCGACGACGAGGTCAGGATCACGCGTCGCACCGTCCCGGCTCTCGCGCACGAGCTCATCACGTTCAGCGTCCCCCGGACAGCAGGCTCGATCAGTTCTTTCTGAAATAAAGCCACCGGCGAGCTGATTGATGATCGTGGCCTACTTGGCGTGGGAATAGCATCCGTCGAGGCGTCGAGCAACTCCATCCAGATCATTCGTGGCTAATAATAACTAAACGATTGGTTTGGTCACCTCTGGATCCTCTGACGCGATGTTCACCGGTGCGGCGACGAGGAAGGCGTAGTCGCAGCCGGCGACGGCCTCGTCGAAGCTGCCTTCGTCGTCTAGGTCGCCGCGGAGGACTGTGAGGGAGCCGAGCGCCTGCAAGTCCTTGAGGTGGGAGTTCTTGGCCATGTCGTCTGGGATTTTGAATTTAATCAAAATATAATAAATATAGAGGACTCCCTAATTGTTTTTTTTTATCATGACAGCTTGTGACGATCAAGTTATAGTCGAACCGGGGTTCCTGACCGTCGTCTTGACGGCGTAGCCTTTCTCCAGCAGCATCTTGATGAGCGCTGAGGCGATATACCCGTTCCCTCCGGTCACGCACGCCGTCTTCTTCTTGTCGCCCGCGGACGACGACATCGTCGCCTGCCACCAAACACCTCGTCTATGCTGCCGGCGACTGGCAGAAGCCTGATGATTTGCTCACAAAGTTGCTATGGAGAGGGTAAAGAGAAAAAAAATTGTATGGCAAGAACTAGTTTGGGACGCCATTTGGCGGTGGCGAACAGAAAGACGAAGGCACTACCTAAATGAAGAAGGTGCAGATGAGGTGTAGCTATTGCTCGATTTATTGGTGACAGTGATTACTGGTACCAGTACCACTCAACAACAGCGAGTGGCACGTGCCGTCACGTCAAATAGTCAAGGTGTACTATGGTTGTTTGTTAGGATATATAAGCGGGTTAGCTTGCGAACTTGTATATAAGTTTAATTTTATAAGTTACTACAACCTGCAACCAACATAATTCAACCTGCTATAAGCTAATTTAGTTCTCTATATGGTTTCGACACGATATCTTTTTTTGACGTAACTAATAAGCAACTATATAAAATAAATGATAAACAATGACTTCATATTAATCTTTGTTAGACGTAAATCAGAAAAATTCTCAAAAAAAATCATAAAACATTAGGCTATCAATTCAACAAACCCTAATGATGTCATCAATGATAGCAATAATCGTTATATCGAATCTATTATATTTTCTAAGACCACTAACCCCATTTATAAGAAGTAATATAAAGTATGATTTTCTAAACCCGCATCTAAATTAGTCACATCTGCTGTACGCGCTTATGTTAATCAAGTGGGCCACTGATTTGAGGGTATAAATATTCATGGCCGTTGGCTTGCTACTAATGCAAAATACCTGACTCTCATGTTGCGGATATGTTAGACCATATACTAACCATCGAGGGAAAAAATAAATTTTAATATGGAACTTGAAACACCTGTAAAAGGACATAAAAAGACTTTTCGACAAATTGATTAGACCCTCGTGTTTGGCGTATCAATCAAGTTGTTTTGGCAGGTGAGAAAGTAATATTACTCATCCAGTAAAAATGGAATATCCAAACATCACCGTTGCAAGATACCCTCCGTCCTATAATATAGCGTATTCTAGCATTAATAATTTATCCTCAGATATAATGCATTCTAGAAAGAAAAAACCCATTTTGCATTAAATACTTTTTATTTATCAGTCAATCACCACAAATCGTGTTGATGATAGCATCTTATTAGGAAATAAAGTGAGGGCACATGCGTCTTTTGTGTTATCTCTTAATCTGTCTTAAAATTTTTAGAATGCATTATATTATAGGACAGAGAGTAGGTCCATAGTGTGTAGTTAAGCCTCTTAATATTTTGAAACTATGAATTTTGTATGTGTAAAGGAAAAAAACCCAATACATTATATGGATAATCAATTGAGTTGTCTTGGCATAGTGAAACTCACTATGCCAAAACAGCACAAAGGAGACACCTTAATCAGTGATACGGAATTAAAACACGTCACTAATTTAATATAGTGACGTGGGTAAACAAAACACGTTACTGGTAAGGTGTCGCCCATGGTTCGGAAACAAAACGCGTCACTAATGATGAGTTATCACAAACTCTTTGTAACTAAATGTGTCGCTGATAACAGGAGCTCTTAAGAGAGACTCGTTGGCCCAAAAGGCGTCACTCCTAAAAGATGTTGGACCCGAAAAAATTATCAAACATGGTAACTTGAGGAGTGAAGTCCGAAATCCGCTGGTCCGACTCGGACCCTCCTGTCTGACCGTGCCCCCAGACCCGTCACCCGTTCCCATCCTCTCTCTCTCTCTCTCTCTCTCTCTCGCCTCCTTTCCCCACGACATCTCACCTCGCCGCCCGCCGGTCCCCCCCTTCTCCTTTGCCTGCCACAACCATCTTTCATCTCCTCTACCTCCGCTCACCACCGCCATCTTTCATCTCCTCTTCCTCTGCTCGCCACCTCCATCTCTCATCTTCCTCTCCTTCACTCGCCACCGCCATTTTTGCTATTTCAGCTACTTGTCATGTTTGCACTAAACTTTCTATTATTCATTATCCATTGTTTCAGCTAGTTATAACTCTGCTTGAGAGACTGGAGTTCCAGAAATACTGTGTAGGATTTAAGAGTCATGAGTTATATATCTAATACTCTGGTTCGTATGCATGATGCTGGATTTCTCTCTTTTTTCACTGTAATCATATATTTAGTCTATTGAATAGAATATTGCTATGCTTGACAGCTCCATATACAGATTCATAAGGACTGCTCTGTGTTGTCTATGTTCTCCATCTCAGTTTGTAGCTTGCAGCTTTGTGAGTGTGAGGTAGGCCACCTGTTTTAGACAACTGCTGAAAACACTATTCCAAGAGGGCATATAATTGGGTCTTGATTATTTTGTGCTCGTGAGAGGTTAATATGAATTGCTTCCTGAATCTTTTTTTTTTTGAACCGGGGGAGATTCCCCATTTCCATTAAAGACATAACGGAAATACAATGTTCCAAGAGGTTGATCAGAGTGACGGAACATAGAGAGTTGCAGAAAGTAGAGATACTACCCTCATTACTAGGCTACCCAGTTCTTACCCATCAACCCCAAGTATCGGGCTTTAGACAGTACAGTAAACAAGACATCCAGAAGCAACAAACAGGCAAAAAGAGAGACTTACCAAGCAGTTACAGACAAATGCAAATAACTGCTACAGCGTCCATAATGACCCCAGCTCCAGATTCACTTGTCTCTTCTCAGCTTGCATTACTGTTGTTGTGGTTGTCCTCCAGCAGCTTGGTCTCATCGGTCTTCTTCTTCTTGCTCACCAACTTCGCAGCAATCTTCAGCATAGTGTTGATACCTTCAACCAACTCTTCCTTGTCTACTCGGGATTTTTAACTTTTTGCTGTCCTTAAGGATGTCACTCATTCGTTTACCAGTTTTGTATGCGCTTCTACACAATTGCCATCACAAACAGTGAACCTCCTTCACTTTTGCCACTTTTGCTGATGTGGCACGCCAGCGTGGCAGTGACCCTGCCAGCCCCAACTTAGCATGTGAAAAGACCTATTTACCCCTTCTCTTTTTCTCCCTCCACTCGCTCACATGTGGGCCCCACATGTCAGTTCCTTCTTCAACCTCCCGCCATCACCACGTAGCTCCAGCCTTCCCTCCCTATTTGAACCTGCCCTCCTCCTGGCCCCAACCCAGTCTTCGCATTGAACTCTTCACACCTCACCCACCAAGAGACCAATCCAGCATGCCTCCCCGTCATCGTCTCTGATAACTCATCATCGAAATCCAGCTCTTATAGCTACCTTCCGCTGGTTGCCTGGTTCCGATGGCGCTGCTGGTGCGGAGGGCACGGAGGTCACTCGGCGGCGGCAGTAGCAGCAGCGTGGAGCTTATGATCCCGGCGCACTACCACTACCGGTGCCCGATCTCGCTGGACCTCATGCAGGAACCCGTCACTGCGCCAATGGGGATCACGTACGACCGTGAGAGCATCGAGGCATGGCTGGACACAGGCTACGCCACCTACCTCGTCACCCACGCGCCGCTCCGCCATGAGGACCTCGTCCCCAACCATGCAATGTCCGCGTCATCCAGGACTGGTGCGTCGCCAACCGCTCCCACGGTGTCGAGCGCATCCCCACGCCCAAGATCCCTGTCACGCCCGTCCAGGCCTCCGAGCTCCTCTTCGACCTCGTCGGGTTCACACGCCGCCGCGCGGTGTCATAGAACCGACCAATTTATAAAAGCACAAGTACAATAGCAACCACCGGGGCGGTTGCACTATCATACTTGAGCCCATATAAACCTGGTAGTCCGTCGAGTGTCGCGAAGGACCTCGAATCATGACCAAAATATAAACCAAGATCGTACATGATTCAACATACATGTCACATGTTACATAAAGTTCACAGGTAGTCCAACATACATCAGAGTACGAATAAAGTTATTACAACCCAAAGTTCAAATTTTGTAACGAAAGCAACATAGTTTTGAAACCATCATACACATGGTTCAGATACATACCAGTTTCACGATCATTTCTAACAAAAGCACATAGAGAAAGCTACTAGAAAAAGCCTTGCCGTCAGCCTCATTCCTCGTCCATGGCGGGAGAGAAACAATTCTTGCAATAACCATGATACACGGTACCATCTGCAACAAGTAGGAATAAACCTTGAGTGCTAGAATGTACTCAGACTAGACTTACATCATAAACTTAAAATAAAAGAGACACCAAGGATTATGCAAAAAATTTTGTGAAGGTAGAGCCGGCTTGCGACATTTTGCATAAAAGCGGAAGTAATAGATGGCTTGATCTGTTGGGTTATTCTAGCAACATGTTATACCTATTAAAATTAAGCATGTCTAGGTTGGCATTTTTTTGTACTAGAGCAATCACTTGATTTAAGCTAAAGCAAATAATAGTAACCATATCTGGTATAGTATTTTTATATTCATCATAACCTCACCATTCATCGAGTTACTACGATGAAGAAGCTCAGTTAAGTTTCTCACTATCTAGGAGAGAGGTTATTCAAATCAATTGCAACCAGCTGGGCAAAAATCCTAACACAAACCCACACTTTTCCCATCGAGGTCGCGTCGGGCCACCTTTGGTACAACTCAAGACTCAACTTCGCGGGTTCGATCAGCGCCGCACCCTCAGGGACTGACCAGCTGCCAGGATGCTCAGGCCCAACCTGCCCTTGGGCTCACATCCAGCTCCCCACACATCCTTACTATCTTTAGTGTGCGCACTTAGACAGAACGACTCCCGGTCTGAGTTGAGCTACTCGGCTTTGTGATCGGAATGAGTTATCCGGCCAGCTAAGTCAGAGGCTGCGTTCAAAATGACAAGAGAGCCTCCATTGATGCGGTCCTTAATTGGCACAGACGGAATCACATAAATCAATCTACCACATAGACTCCATTCGGTCTCCATTTACATCATCACATGGTTCTTTTCCACGATAGCAAATATAGCCAACCGTGATCCGATATCCACCTATATCTCGCAGGTGACAGAAAATCACCCGACTTCTACCGAGCTAACA